GCAGGGGCAATGAGTGGTCCAGTGTAGACTTGAAATGAGAGTCAGTGAGGCTGAGCACAGAATGCAGAAGACCAAAACGAAGTTGCTGTCATATTTCTACAAACCAACCCAACTCAACAGGTAATGACTTCGCAAAAAGGAAATTTAGGGTTGTGTCACTGGGGGCAGGCTGTGAGAGTTGATAGCCTTGCCCCATTTCCAATTGATCTCTCTGCTTGCTATTTGTCCTGGAGCCATGAGCTCTGTTTCCCACTCCAGCCAGGTTGCCTGCCTGAAATCAATGCTTACCTGCCATAGTGGGCTCTTTCTCTGGAACTGAAAGACCAAATAAACTCTTCTTCTGTAATTTGTCTTGGTCATGGTGTTTAATCACAGCAACAAAAAAGCAGTTAATACAAAAGTTGGTAGCAGATAGGATGTATAGGCCAAATTCTAGCCCTGCCAGGGCCATTCCGTACCTTAGGCCCATTTCCTGTATCAGAATTTAAACTGTGCCATCAACACGGCATCCCTCCCCATAGCCACACCTCCTTCCACACCTTTCCCCACAGATGGCTTGAGAGTGCATCATGCTTCCCCTGTGCTTTGATTGGTCTGCCACCTCATGACTGCTGCCTGTGATCAGCGCATATCCCCAATGCTGGATGTAAGCACATGATCAGCATGACCTTTGCTACCATTGGTCCACAATGGGTGCCCTTTCATGTTATTGGATGATTATGTGCAAATATACAGCCTGCTGAAAAATAGAGTTCCACCCCTCTGATGCACTCCCAGAGTGGTCTCTGCTGCGTCACACTTGCCCTCCGTGGGATGTGGACTTCCTGCTAGACTGCATGGACCCACCTCAACAGGGACCCGCACAAGCGTGCTTTCTTGGGAGGGCTCTGCACCTGTCTCTGTCCCAGCCAGATTAGTTTGCCGGTTTTATGACTCTGGTTCAAGAGATACTGATGGTGATGTTCCTTTATACCTGGATCTGGATGCCGATATCCTGGAGGGTCCTGATCCTCTGGCTCCCTCAGAGTTATGGCCAACTCTGAGAAGCCGCTCCAAATTTAAGGGGACTGCCCTGACCAGGCAACCCCCTCTTGCTGCTATCCAGAACATGGACCCTGCCAGGATGTCTCGAAACAAGCGACACCGCCTCTGACGGTTTCAAAAACAGCTTCAAAAACTCACCATCAGCCTTCAAAAAGCCAAAAGAAAAAGACGGACGAGGCGAAGACTGACGCTTTATGCCCAACAGGTAAGTATGACTGAGGTAAGTATCCGCACTGTCCTCATGGGACTCGCCTGCTTGACTCTGCTACCTTCGCAGGCCAATGCCTATGTTCTCTGGGGATATAGTCCCAACCCTGGTACCATCTAGCCATATGGCTGGGATGTCATACCACAGCCTATTTCTTGCACGAATCCCTGTACCCCCTCGCTGGAGCCTGCCCACTGGCAGAGTCCTCTTACAACTTTACGCTGTTGGATCTCCGCCTCCGGCCAAGCCAGGGGCAGCCTGCTGGTGGAGTCTAATATTCACCAAGGACCCACGGGGCCTATGCCCATCCCTGGGACCCCAGGAGGCATTTCATGCTAATTGGAAGGATCTGGTTCACATTGCATCTTTCAGCCCCCTAACACTTCCAGACCCTATAAGTCTGCGCCACACCCCCCCCACCATGTTCCCACTTGCTGGGAGACTAATCTGGCTCCTCTTGGCTTGGGGGCTGGTGCAATTGCCAGACAACCCTAACATATTGGCTGACAGGATCCCCAGGTCTGGTGGGCTCGGCATACTACTCTATTCCCCTTTAGGGCTCCCCAAACGGTACGTATTGGTCTTAGTGCCGCCAAACTACTAGCACCTATCCTCAGCCCACCTGGATCCTAGCACTCCTGACAAATAGCCTATATTCTGCTTGGGGACCTGGGGGTGTTGACTGGAGACCCTTTCTCCCTGCACTCAACACATATGTAATCTCCCTTAGATACCAATTTAACAATGTATCTGCTGACAATGTTACTAATAACAGTTCATGGGTAACTTAGCCGCATTCTTTACTATGACAGTGCTTTCAATAATTATAATTTTAGTTGCACCTTAAGAAGCATTCACATTTTTCTTAGCATGTCTTAGGAAAGAACAATGGTAAAGAAACTATAAAAGGTTAAATGTTTGACTATTAAAATTTTAATATTGTTTCTCAAAATCTAATTATAATACTTTCCAATAGTATTTCCTTCAAATATTGTAAAGCATTACATTGCCTATACTTCTAACATTTTTCATCTACTTCATAGTAATTCTTTAAAAGAAACATGATCTAGTGTTTTTATAAATTTTTTTAGAAGAAGCATTTCATTACAGCTTTAACATACTCAATAACAATTTCCAGAGCAAAGATATATCTCTTTCAAAAGTGGCTATAAAATGTTTAGGTTCACAGTTGAATTAATACAGTTATACAATATTGAACTCAGTATAAACCCTGTAAGACATAAAATTGAATTAGTTTTTAACCTTTAAAAAAGAACTCCATTTTTTTTAAAAACATACTGTTTCTTACAGAAAGACTCATTGTTTTTGCTAATAGCACTTAGATGTTGGCACATGCATCTCAAATCTGTATGTATCTGATTATTATTAGTCATGGTCGGTTGCACTTGATCATCTAGTGTTTTTTAGAAGTGATTTTCTTGCTCTGGGACTAGGAAGGTAATAGCTACCTGCACACTCTTGTGAGCTAGTTAGAACCTGCCCATACCTTTGCCATCTTCCTTCTCAAACAGGAAACACTTTTTCCCCCCTGGTGAGCTAATTAGTACCTGCCCCACTCCACAATCTCCACACTCACAGTTATAGCTGTGATTGCCCACCTGGCACACCAGACCAGACTGGAATCACCCTGCAGCTCCAATAAAAAAAATCAAAAACGGAAACCTGAAACACAGAGCAACTATCATCAAAAGTCAAGCAAGCTAGAGCTTCAATAAAAACAGAACCAAACTTCTAATCATAAAGACAAGTGAGAGTTTCATATCAGACCCAACCAAAAGAAGAAAAAGAGAAAGACCTGTATACCTAGGTGATCATGCAGAAACACAAATAATATGAAAAAACATGATAATACGTTCCCACCAAATCCCAGCAGTGTTCTACAGTGAGGATTACCCAGGGGAACCACAGGACACAAACTTGAAAGAACAATCATAAACATGATAAAAAGAATTCAGGATTTAATGAACACACAAACAACTCAAGAAACAAAGAGCCCAGGAATAAACTCCCGACTGAAACTCTGGAAAATACAAATATACAACTGAATGAAATGACCAAGACAATTCGGGAAGTTAAAGAGCGCTCTGGAGGTGGGAAGTAAAGTCCATGACTCAGTTGCCAGGAAGAACTTTAGCCTGGGGCCCACTGCCAATGCAAGAGCACACCTGACTAGTCTCAGTCTCCTGAGTGAGTCAGATCCTACCCACCAGGTCACTCTACCCCTGCTTTAGAGCCATCCCCACTCACACAGCATTGGGGCTCACATCTACTCTGCTTATCGAGTTAGAACTGGCCCACCTTGTCCCCATCAGCCCACCATGGGCCTGGGATCCTTCGCCCTGCTAGCTGGTCTGGTACATTCAATAAAAAAAATCAAAGCCAGGCATGGTGGCGCATGCCTGTAGTCCCAGCACTTGGGAGGCAGAGGCAGGCAGAGCTCTGTGAGTTCAAGTCCAGCCTGCTGTACAAAGTGAGTTCCAGGCCAGCTGGGGCTACAGAGATAAATAAATAAATAAATAAATAAATAAATAAATAAATAAATAAATAAATAGCTAGAACTTGAAACACAGACCACCTAACTATTCATGCCTAGTCCTAAGACAACCAAGCTATAGCAAGAATAAAAACAGAACCAAGATTCAACTCAACAAAGAAGGCAAGAATTTCATATCAGACACACAACCAACAAAAGAAATGCATATGCCCAGGTCGCAACACAAGAGCACAAAATATGTGAAAAAGCAAGATAATATGTCCCCACCAAGTTGCACCAGTCCTATAAAAGTGTTCTACAATGAGAACTACCTAGAGAAACCCTAGGGCACAGAATTTAAAAGAATCATAAGAGCCGGGGGTGGTGGCACACACCTTTAATCCCAGCACTTGGGAGGCAGAGGCAGGCAGATCTTTGTAAGTTCAAGGCCAGCCTGGTCTACATAGCCAGCTCTGGTCCAGTTGGGGCTACAAGGAGATCCTGTCTCAAAAAGACAAAAAAAATGGCGGCGGGGGGTCTAGAGTGATGGTTCAGTGGTTAAGAGCACTGACTGCTCTTACAGAGGACCTGGGTTCGATTCCCAGAACCCCTCCTTTCCTTTTGTCACACAGCTGTATGTGGCAGCTATGAACCGTCCTTAACTCCAGTTCCAAGGGAATCAGAAGGCCTCTTTTGACCTCCACGGCATTGCATGACATGGGTGCACTCACATACATGCAGGCAACACACTCATACACATAAAATAAAAATAATAAACAAAATATTAAGAAAAAAAGACAGGAAAAAAAGAATCATAAATATGACCAAAGAATTCAAAAACTTTAAAGAACACACAAACAACTCGAAGAAGACAGGGATAAACTCTAGGCAGAAGCTCAAGAAAATATAAAAGTGCAGCTGAATGAAATGAAAGCCAATGCAGGTTTTGAAAACTGAATTCACAAAAGAAACAGAAATATTGAATAAAAAAGAAATATTGAATAAAACTCAGGCAGAAATTAAGATGGACTTGAAAAACTCTGCCAGGTGTGGTGGCACATGGCTTTAATCCCAGCACTCAGGAGGCAGAGGAAGGTGGATCTCCATGAGTTCAAGACCAGCCTGGTCTACAGAGTGAGTTCCAGGCTACCTGGGGCTACAGGGAGACCCTGTCTCAAAAAGACCAAGGGAAAAACCAAGTAAGACAATTTGAAATAACAGACTTTCTGGTGGTGACGACTTCCCTACAAGAACATGCCTCTCACAAAGAATCTCCTTCATCCCTCTCCAGAAGAGGAGAGGAAACGCAAGACGCGCCTGGTGCAGAGCCCCAGTTCCTACTTCATGGATGTGAAATGTCCAGGATGCTATAAAATCACTACAGTCTTCAACCATGCACAAACGGTAGTCTCGGGTGTTGACTGTTCCACTGTCCTCTGTCAGCCTACAGGCAGGAAAGCATGGCTTACAGAAGGATGTTCCTTCAGGAGGAAGCAGCACTAAACTTACCTTGAATTAAGATGAGCTAGGAACCATCCCAATAAACATATTTTGGATTTAAAAAAAAGAACAGGAGAAAGACTCACCAGCAGAATGAATCAAGTAGACAACAAAATATCAGGACTGGACTATAAAGTTGAAGAATTGGGATGTCAAAATTTTTAAAGATACATAAATGGAATATGCAGGAATGTGGGACACTATGAAAAGAGCAAATCTACACATTGCAGGCATAGAAAAAGGAAAAGAACCTCAGGGTCACGACATTCACCAGATCTTTAACAGGATTATAGAAGAAAACGTCCGTAAATTAAGGAAAAACACACCCATACAGATACAGGAAGTACACAGAACACCAATTAGACAGGAACAGAACAGAAACTCCTGGCGACATATTACAATAAAAGCAATAAATGTAGAGAACAAAGAGAAGACACTGAAAGCTGCTAGAGAAAAACAAGTTAGATAGGAAAACCCATCAGAATTACAGCTGACTTTTCAATGCAAACTATAAAAGCCAGAAAAGCCTGAAACAAAATATTCCAAGTTCTAAATTATTTTACATGCCAAGTCAGAATACTTTAACCAACAAAACTATTACATTTGAAAGGGAAAGAAAAAGCTTTGATGATACAAATGGGCTGAAAGAATTCATGCTTAACAAACCAGCCCTACAGAAAACAATTGAAGCAATGCAAAAGACTGAGGAAAGGAATGACCATATCCAAGAGACTGCGGAAAGAAAGCGAATGAAGGTATAATTATGGAAACAAAAAATAGAACTAAGAACAGAAATAGCAAATACAGTGACAGTAACCAATACATATCTTTCAATAATAACTGTATCAGTGGCCTTAACTCACCAGGAAAAAGACACAGGATAGTTGCATGGATTAAGAACAAAATTCACCTTTTTATTGCTTACAAGAAACCCATCTTACCTTCAAAGATAGGCATCACCTTAGGGTGAAAGGATAGAAAGAAAAAAAACTTCCAAGTAAGTGGCACAAAGAAACAGGCAGGTGTTATGATTCATATCTGACAAAATAGACTTCAAATTACAATTAATAGATAAATTGGTCACCTCATTCTCATCAAAGGAAGAATCATTAAAATCATGAACATATATGCACCAAACTCTTGTGCAATCAATTTCATAAAAACAGAACTATTGGACTTCAAGACCCAGGTTAGCCACAACTCAGTAATAATAGGTCAACTGGACAAAGGATAAACAAAGAACCGTCTGAATTAAATGATATCATATATCAAATAGACATCAAAAGAATATTCCATCCCAGAACAAGAATACCCATTCTACTCAGCAGCCCATGGAAGTTTCTCTAAAATACACCACAAATTGGGGCACAAAACAAACCTCAACCAAAAAAATTGAAATAGTTCCATTATTCTATCAGATCACAATGTAAAAAAGCTTAAAAGTCAACAGCAGGGACTGGAGAGATGGCTCAGCAGTTAAGAGCACTGGCTGCTCTTGCAGAGGACCAGGTTCAATTCCCAGCACCCACATGGTGGCTTACAACCCAGTCATGTTATTTCACTTATAAAATACGTAAGTGAGCAAGGCTACAGAGATGGTTTAGTGAGTAAAGTGTGGGCCTGAGTTCAGGTCACCAACACTCATATCAAAAAAATTATATGTATAGGAGCCCGACTTAAACCTCTGGCCTCCTGCTCCGAGTTTCCTGCAATCAGCCGCAACAGACCAGGGCTGTGCCTGGCAGACTTCTTGTGGCATGGCCTGGAAATGGCAATCAGTACCCCTACCTCAGCCCAAGAAGCCCAGACCTGCAGCTGCCCCAAAGCTGGCTGACTTGTCCTCCTCCCCTGGCTTGCAAAACAGAGAAAAAGAACAAGCAGCAATCAAACATACCGATGAAGTACAAAATGAAATAACTTAACGAACAAGCCAGGGAGGAAGTTTTGAAAGTAGAACAAAGAAATACAACAAATCTGCCGACCGTTTTTTTCCAGAAGAGGTCAAAGTTGATTGCCAAAATCCCAGAATTGGGGGTAGCAGCATTTGTCAACCATCTACAAGTGTCTGCACTGCTTAGGGAGGAGGATAAGGAGGTGCTGCATTATTTGACCAGCGTTGAAGTAACAGAATTTGAAGATATAAAATCAGGTTACAGAATAGATTTTTATTTTGATGAAAATCCTTACTTTGAAAATAAAGCTCTCTCCAAAGAGCTTCATCGGAGTGAGGGTGGTGATCCGTCTTCAAAGTCCACAGAATCAAATGGAAATCTGGAAAGGATCTGATGAAATGCTCAAGTCGAACACAGAATAAAGCCAGCAGGAAGAGGCAGCATGAGGAGCCAGAGAGCTGCTTCGCCGATTCACTGCGCATTCTGATGCAGGCACAGATGAATTAGGAGAGGTCATCAAGGACGACACCTGGCCAGATCCCCTGCTGTACTACTTGGTTCCAGATATGGATGATGAAGAAGAAGGGGAAGATGATGATGACGGTGATGATGATGATGATGAAGGATTAGGAAGATATTGGTGAAGGGGATGAGGACAAAGGTGAAGATGGAGATGATGATGAAGGAGAGGAAGGACAGGAGGATGAAGGAGAAGACTGAAAGAAAAGAAAACTGATGGATTCCAGCCTTCCTTTTTTTTTTAATTTTATGTGTATAAGTGTATTGTCTGCGTGTATGTGAGTGCACCCCTGTCGTGCAATGCCATGCCGCGGAGGTCAGAAGAGGGTTTCGGATTCCCTTGGAACTGGAGTTAAGGACGGGTTGTAGCCACCATGTGGGTGCTGGGAATCGAACCTAGGTCCTTTGCAAGAGCAGTCAGTGCTCTTAACCACTGAGCCATCTCTCCAGCCCCCAGCCTTCCTTTTTTTTAAATTTTTCCTTTTTATTTTTTAATTTTCTCCAGTCCCTGGGAGCAAGTTGCAGTCTTTTCCCTCCCCCTCCCCTCTTGTGCTCACCCTGTTTTTGAAGTTTATTTTCTCAACATGATGGCTCTCAACATATTTGGGGAAAATAACCTTGAACAGAGTACAATGGAAAAAGAATCTCCACTCCTCTGTTCTAAATTCATTTTGGTCCTTTCTTATCTCAAAAACTGTGGAATCAACACCACCACCACCACCGTGTTCTGTGGGAAAAAAGAAAAACCTCCTGTTCCCTTGGCTCTTCTGTAAGCTGGGCGTGCTGGGTCCCTGTGTGGTAGTGCGTAGAATTCTAGCTTTTTTCCTCCTTTCTCTGTGTTTCTGGCTCAGAGATTACACTGTGCTCTATGTGAATATGGACAGTTAGCATTTACCACCATGTACCTGTCTGCTCTTGTTTAATAAAAAGAAAAAAAGCGTTTAAAAAATGGGTATAGAAGGTCAGAAAAGGTAGGTTTGAGATCTTTAGGTGGGTTAAGTGGATATTTTGACAACATGGCTTCTCCTTTGGCATGTTAATTGTGGTGCTTTTTTTGAAATCCTTGCAGTTTAAGATGACGCTTTTAAGATAAACTTCTCTCCTCATGGCGCCCTGAGCCCTGCCACTCAGTGGGAGAATCAGCAGAACCTGCAGGATTCTATTTGGAATTGACATTCTCTACTGTAATTTTATTTTTAACTTTTCTGTTTTCAGTAGAAAGAAGATGATGCTCAATTTTAAATGTTAAAAGTGTACAAGCTGCTGTGTTACAATAAAACTAAACATGTACACAAAAGATTTGATGCTTTTCTCTCAGAATAGATATGACCTTCCAAGTTTAACTTGTCCAATAACATCACGTCAAACTCTGTCTCCCTAACTTCGTATTTTTTGACACGCACTTTGCAGGATGACCTCAGGGCTATGTGGATTGAATAAGGGGATCTGAATCATGTCTTAATGTCTCCACAACTGGGTAATGGGCACACTTTGCTGCCATGAAGTTGTACCCTTTTCAAAACTCAATTTGGCATTTCTTAAATGGACCTTTAGTTACCTGGATATTGTAATCACAGCACCTGCTACCACCACAGACCTGCTGCTCCAGTGCCGGCTGAACATAGGACAGCTGGCGCAGTCTTCACTGGCACTATAAACTGTCACGAGTCCATGTTGGTGGTTAGGACTACTTTGTCTCTTAACTCCCAGGTACGTAGCAAAAGTTACCAGATGTGACTGTGGGAATCTGGGTGGGAAGAAACAAGCACTCTCATCTCAACCATTGTGCAGAGAATTATTTTGGGAAACTACCTACCACGTAAGTTTTTATTTCTGTGAAACAGAGCTGAAATTAAATGCCACTTTTTCAGAGATGATTAATGGACAGCCTGGTCAAATTCAATACTTTTTGATGTATAAAATTTTACAAATGGAACAATTCCATCAATAGGCAAAGTGTAATCAAGATCTGGCTAGATGGGTAGTATGTGATTTCTGCACAGGTCTCTATTAATAGATCACTGCCCACCAG